TGCATTGAATTTGGTTTTTGATCCTACACATCACTGAAAAACTTTGTTTCCAAAAGTTAATAGATCGGGGAAAGCAAAATACTTTCAAACACATTTAAAAACATATGAATACATATGAAACAATGAATATATGAATATGAATACATATGAAACAATGAATATATGAATACATATGAAACAATGAATATATGAATACATATGAAACAATGAATATATGAATACATATGAAACAATGAATATATGAATACATATGAAACAATGAATATATGAATACATATGAAACAATGAATATATGAATACATATGAAACAATGAATATGAAACATACGAAACAATGAATATGAAACAATGAATATGAAACATATGAATGAATATGAAACATATGAATACATATGAAACAATGAATATATGAATATGAATACATATGAAACAATATATGAATATGAAACATATGAATACATATGAAACAATGAATATATGAATATGAAACAATGAATATATGACTATGAAGCATATGAAACATGAATACATATGAAACAATAAATATATGAATATGAAACAATGAATATATGAATACATATGAAACATTATTTCGCATATAAAAAAATATGAAACACCAAAATGTAGAAATGTTGGAAATTATTTCAAAGGGATCATTTGTCATTGAGTCATTAAAAACTTCTACAAATTCATCTTGTAAATTGTCTGGAAATTTTGGATTTAATTGAAAAGGATTGTGAATCAGCTGATAATCAAATTCTTCTATATTAGGGAAATACAAACCTGACTGACCATGTCAAGAAACCAAATGCTTCTGAGTTTTCTGAACATTTGTAATCTACGCCTGCTTGCCATGGTATCAGAAGTCAATAAAAACTCACAAAATAAACTGCTTATTTCAGAACCTGTCATTTCCAAATGTAAACCATCAGGTTGCTCAGTTTGTTTCAATGGTCCTGGTCTTTTGAACAGGAGTAGAGGTTTATCCCTTGTTTCCTGTTTAGGATTGGGTTTAGATTTCTGGTTCTTTCTAAAGTCTACTTCAGCTCTATACTCATAATGCTTGTCCTTTCCTATGCTAATATAATTTCACACAGTAACCCTCTAACTTGAGTGGCTCTTGGGTCTCATGTTGGTTGAAGATTAGTTAAAAAGAAAGCTAATTCACTGATTCCAGTAATATAAGGCTTATCACTTACAGCCTTTTTCCAATAGGTGACTACTGGAAAAAAGGAGCTAAATGTTGAGAGTGTGAGGTACTTGATCGTTTAATCCCGGGAGTATGCCTACCTCTGTTTGAGAAGTCTGGTTTAAAAACCAGATAAAAAGCACCTGCCTATTTCTGCACACCAGCTGCTCAGGCTGTTTCAATAGTGTCCAGTTAAAACTTTTTCTCTGTCTTTTGAACAGAAGTAGAGGTTTATCCCTTGTTTTCAGGTTTAGGATTGGGTTTCCGGTTCTTCAACTCTACACTCCTAATGCTTGTCCTCTCTTCCACAAATACAACTCCACACAGTAGCCCTTTATCTTGAGTGGCTCTTGGGCCTTGTAACAGATGAACATTAGTAAAAAAAAAAAAAAAAAAAGACACAGCTGATGGAAAATGTGACACAGAAATCTGAAGACAACACTGAATAGTAAAAGATATCTTCCAGAAACAAAGCAAAGTATTAAGAAACAGAGAAATTTAATTGGAAACAGATATAAAAGTTCTCCATTGTTACATAATATCAATTCTGATTTTAATTTGTATAAGAATCCTATGGAATGGTAACTTAGGAAAGGTATGGATCCACCTCTTTTCCCACCTCCAGCTATAGATTAATTAGTAAGACATTATTATCTCAAAAAAAAAAAAAAGATATTCGTAAGACATTATATCTCAAAAAAAATTCTTGCAATCAAAAATATTTTCTGGCTTTAAATAACCTACAAAGGGTTGATAAGTCATAGAAAATAAATCAATTAATCAAATACTTATTAGCTACACAAACATATCTTTTAGATTTATTTACATTCTCTGGGATAGAAATGTATAGAAACTACAGTGGTCACAAAGTGAGTGATCGATTTATGTAGTGATTGTAATATAAAATTGATCCCCCATTTTATACCCACATTATAATTTCTTGTTTGTTGATAAGTCGTAGAAAACGATTCAAGCAATCAATGAAATACTGATTAGCTACACAGGCATGTCTTTTAGATTTATTTACATTCTCTGGGATAGAAATATAGAATCTACCGTGGCTACAAAGTGAGGGGTCAATTTATATAGTGATTGTGATATACAATTGATCCCCTACTTTATATCCACATTAAAATTCTTCTTTGTTGATAAGCTGCAGAAAATGAATGAATCAATGAAATTCTGATTAGCTAGACAAGTATGTCTTTTAGATTTTACATTCTCTGGGATATAAATGTATAGAAACTACCGTGGCCACAAAGTGAGGGATCAATTTATATAGTGAGTGTGATATACAACTGATCCCCCAATTTATATCTACATTATAATTTCTTGTTTGTTGATAAGCTGCAGAAAACAAACCAACCAACCAATCAACCAATGAAATACTGATTAGCTACACAGGCATGTCTTAGATTTTTTTACATTCTCTGGAATATATATGTATAGAAACTACCGTGGCCATAAAGTGAGGGATCAATTTATATAGTGATTGTAATATACAATTGATCCCCCACTTTATATCCACGTTATAATTTTATGTTTGTCTATCAAATTTTGATATGGTATGATCTTAATACCTAACTAACAAGTTGGATGGCAGAACAGAGACTGGAAGAGAGAGTAAGGGGATAAATTTTATTTAAATCTACAAGGCATAGGAAGCTATGAATATTCATGATCACCCACATCCTGAAGGCATGCGGCACATCAAATAAAAAGAAAAGGGTGATATCACAGCTGTAGTGCAAAATAGCCAACAAGTCTTCAACTAGTTATTAATACTCAGCCATAAATGGTTATGTTATCCAGTGAATTTGTACCATGAGCAATTTGACTGAAAGTAGCTCTGTATCCATTACTTCAAGAGAGAGACCTAAGCTGTTAGTATTATTGCAAATAAATAAATAAACATTTAAAAATAAAATACACCATTCTATTCAAACTTCCTGAAACATGCCTCCCCAATCTCTCCTCCTCTTGCTTGTTCCCATGTTTCTGTTTTTCTTGTCAAAGGAAATAACAAAAAAAAATTATCATCTGCATTTGTGACATTTAGAAACTTTGGAAGTAGCAAAGGAACCAATTGTCAGAAAGTGTCAAAGAGTGACAAATGTCAAAGAAATTGATATGAAAGGCACTGCCAATGCAAATATTTCTTCATAAAACTAGTTCTATAAGGCAGAATTTTTCTTTCTTTTGTGGGTGGAGTTAAGGAAATTTTTTCTTGCTTTTACCAAAAACAAGATATTTTTGTAATTGTGAGTTTCTTGGCAATAAAAAAAGAATAACAAATATTTAAATTTAGCTGATTCAATACTGGGAACTTTAAAAATTGGTTACCTGATAAACATTTTTTTACCTGATAAACGGATGAAAATAAATGGTACCTTATAATTGGCTAAAAAAATGGTTACCTTATAATCAGATAAAAAAAATGATTACCTTATAAACAGATAAATAAAATTGGTTAACTGATAAATGGATAAAAAATATGATTACCTTTTAATTGGATAAAAAAATAGTTACCTGATAATCAGATAAAACATTCATCTGGTAATAAGCTGTATTTACTTTCTGTCAAATGGTAATTTTAGCTGTTTCCTTATAAAGAAACATTTGGCATTCATCAACTGAGCAATTTATATAGTGACTGTAATATACAATTTAATTAGTAAGCCATTATTATCTCAAAAAAAGTTTGACACATTGACTGTCTTGTCATCATGAGGTAAGCATACTCCTGGATATTACACGATTAAGTACCTCACACTCTCAACATTTAGCTCCTTTTTTCCAGTAGTCACCTATTGGAAAAAAGGCTGTACTTCACCCAACATAAGGCCCAAGAGCCACTCAAGTTAGAGGGTTACTGTGTGAAGGGGTTCATCTTGTCAATGTCTTACTAATAAAATTCTAGTGCTAATTTTGGTTGAAATTTATCAAATATTTCTCTTCAAACAATTTTTCAAGAAAATAGGTTTCACAAGTCCTTCAGCTGTTATTGCCCTTTCCATTATTGACAAGGATGTCTTTCCTGACTTTTTGTTTGAAGTAGTGTGGAATGTGAACATCTTGATTATGTCATTATTTTCTCTTCTCATGCCCAGTAGCTGTTATCACTCTTTCCAATATTGATCGAGGTTTCCTTCCTAACCTTTTGTTTGAAGTAGTGTGGAATGTCAACATCTTGATTATGTCATTATTTTCTCTTCAAGTTATATCTGATATCAGTTTTAGTTGTTGTCGCAGGTCGAATGTCCTCAAGTGATGTGGTTCCTTTTATATGGTGCAGTTCTTTATTTGTGATTCTGTAGTGCCAGTTCACAAGGTCTTTGGCAAGATCTACAGACATCATTCATTCAAAACCATTTTTAGCCATTGGTTCTTAGAAAGGCAGTTGTATACAGCTGACATTTGTGATATTTCTGAATGGGTTTGGTGCCATATATGGCATCCATATGAAAGTCTCGATACGACAAGGTTATTTAAGAACATGACTCAAGTTTTCAGGTTAATGTTTATCCTCTGAGACATCTGGAAGAGGCATGGCACGTGGAACTAGAACAATCTACCCCGTGGATGAAATAAAAGTTTTGGTTCGAAATTCCGATCACCTGAAGAAGGCTGGAGCGTACAACAGCCGAAATGTTGTGAATATGGCAAAGAGGATGAGGATAACAGTTCAAATTTTAAAGCCAGAAAATATTTTTAGATTGTAAGATTTTTTTAGATAAGGGTTTAATGATACAAATTTAACTAATTACCCCATAGCATTTCTGAGCCATTATACTATCTACACGCACAAGAAGCTTACAGCACCTGATATTTACAAGTGGTCACCCATCAAGGTACTGACCAGGCTTGACATTGCTTAACTTTGGTGATTTTATGAGAATTGGTGTTTCAATGGAAAATTCAAAGAAACTTTACTGAAATCAAAATATAGTTATCTTAACCATTTAGCATTCAACAGGCTCTAACCCATCCCGTAAATATGTACCAAGACCCACAGGCTTAACTCACTCAGTCAACATTGATCTGAGAAAATGATTGTATGCAGCTGAGAGTTGAGATATTTCTGAATGCATTTGGTACTATGCATGACATCCATATGAATGTATCGATACAAGGCTATTTAAGAACATGACTTGAGTTTTCAGGTTAATGTTTTGGTTTTGTGGCAATTTGTGGTGTTGTGTGAAACTACCCCTAGCACAACCTGTTCTACATTCAATTTCCTTATCTCTTATACCAAAGGTGACCAAACTGCGGCTTGTGAGACACATGCGGCTCTTTGACTTTTAATATGCAACTCATAGAAATATATTGGCTGAGCTCTTTTTGTCATCTCAGTTAATATAAATTGCTGTTTCCAATAATGATGGAGGTTTCCATCCTAGCCTTTTATTTGAAGTAGTGTGGAATGTCAACATTTTGTCAGCATGGCACCGGGTGTGGTCGTAGTGTTGCTGAGATCCTGACCAGCTCCCTCTATATGTCTCGGTTGCATGCCAATGTCCGAGTCTCTGCCAATGCACTTCCAGTTCACTCACTGATGTCATCAGCTTATTTTTTCCTCTGTCTGCCTCTTCTTCTTTTGCATAAGGTGGTGCCTTTAGGATGGCAGGGAAAAGACTGTTCAAATAAGATGTTGGACATCCAAAACAGAATTGCGGATAAACATATTCCTATCAATGTGTTGAATCATATTAAGATATAGTGGACCCATTGGTACTGACAGATGTAGCTTGTACTTTGTTATGATGACTCTTTTTACAGAACTGGTGGTAATAATAATAATATCATCATCATTCTGAAGTCAGACTAGGTAGAAGAAATCCTCTGAAGTAAAATTATAGCCTTCAGGGGTTCATGCACAAATCTCTATAGGAAAGATATGAATTCATCTTTTCCCCCAGATGTGGAATAAATAGAACTTGTATCTGAGTTTTCGGTTACTAGCAAAGTTTTCACATTCTTTTTTACTCCCAGTCACCCCTTGAGTCTTAGTGGCATCATTTTACTTGGAGGGAAATGATTAAAATAAATAAGATAGATACATATTTATATCTAATATCTTGCATAACATAGTGGTATATAAATGTTTTTGAGAACAATACATATATGTCATTCCTTCTTTTTTTTTTTTTTTTTAATCATTCTAGTCCTCCCATCAGTTGTTTTAAGGGATTAGTATATCACTGATACACTAATGCATATAATGGGACATCTGGAAACTTTCTCTCTTTCCAAGCACACACCCACCACATACATTAATGGCTCTGGATTATTTTAGTTCCATTCAATGGAATTTTACATTTTCTTCATGTCTTCTTCAAAGAAACATACAAGTGACGCACATAGATGAGTGAGGAGTAAATATATTTATTTTTGTTTATTTAATCATTAATATTTATGATCTAAAATTAATTAATATTAATTCAGTCATTAATATTCATGATCTAAATTTCATGGAACAAAGGCAAGCTACTTACAACAAAAAGTGTATAAGAAATAATTATTCAGTAAGGAATCGACCATTTTCCCAGTAGCTTTGATCAATGGATTATATCTACAAGTTCCACTTGAGATCTGGAGTGAGCTTGAGTTACAAAAGGACAAAGACAGATGATAACGGATTAAAAATAAGTTGTGGACAGCAATGATCATTCATGTAAGGGTTCAAATTCCCAAAATACCAGTGAATATGTTAAATTTAATTTAATTTACTAAAATAAAGCCAAAATAGTCTTATATAGCAATTTCTAATGGTAACTAACAAAAATATTGATAGCATTATGTAAGGGTTCAAATATTCAAGGTATCTGTGAAGGTATTAATAAATTTAATTGTATTTACCAAATTAAAGCCGAAATAGTCTTATAGAGCAATTTCTAATGGTAACTAACAAAAACAATGATGGCATTATGTAAGTGTTCAAATATCCAACATACCAGAGAATTCATTAATAAATTTAATTTTATTTACCAAAATAAAGCCAAAATAGTCTTAATATAGCAATTTCTAATGGTAACTAACAAAAACATTGATAGCATTATGTAAGGGTTCAAATATTCAAAGTATCTGTGAAGGTGTTAATAAATTTAATTTTATTTACCAAATCAAAGCCAAAGTAGTCTTATAGAGCAATTTCTAATGATAGCTAACAAATACAAATTGGCTCCAAAACTGAATAAAAAAAAATTAAAAACTAAAGGGTGTTACTTTTTAACCAATAGGGAAAGTAAGTATCAAAATGTATTTCTTTAAAACATACCTGTTGGCAAATTTTATCTTGACCATTAGAATTGAGCTGCTTTTTTTTTTTTAATACAAGTTTTGAAAACAAATTTTATAAATGTAACCTTTTTATAAACCATCAAGTTTCATTTTGGCAGTATTTTTACATAAATTTGAACTTCACTGTTGGTATTTCACCCGTTTAAGTTTAATTACTGCTGTAGAAAAAAAGGATAATTAAGTGACATGACACAGCATAAAAAAAAGGACAAAACCAAACCTTTGAGATTCAAACCTTTTATGAGCATAGTAGAAGAATGAGAAGAAAGGAAGAAGGTTTACAATAATGGTGTTGCAAAAAAATGTTATTTTGCGGACTTATCTTGTCACAGAAAAGAAATGTTCTTTTAACAGTTCTTTGAGGTCTTGTGATTTTTTGTTGTGGTAGTGGCAGTGATATCTCGGATTTCAGACTTCCTGAGGATTGAGAAGATATTTCTTTATGTGGAGGAGGTGCTACAATCCTGGTTTCCATAGATCTGTTGGTGCAGTTTTTTCTGAGAGCATTTTATTTTGTACGTGTTTCTCATTGGAAGTCAACGTGGGAAAGAGGAAAAAAAGATTCAAACATGGCACACCAATCAGGATGAAGCAGCTCCAGTAAGAGGCCTTCTAATTGGTTACTTTTCAGCAAGACACAGGGACTGTTGTAAAAATGCCAGGTGGGCCTGTTCAAAAAGGTGTTACCCCGAAAGACTTGTAATAATTTTAATATCAAATATATAATGTTTACACATCAAATTTTATTCAAGCCATTTTTTACTGTCTGGCTTCATTACAGTTTTTTTTTTTTTTTTTTAAAGAATACATTTTAGTAATTTTCTTCTTTTCATTGAGCGACAACAATGTTAGTGCCACATGTTGTTTACAACTTTCCACAGCAGAATGTTTTGGTGGTATGGTCTTGCTTATTTCTTAATAGTTGCATATTTATTGTTTATTTACCTATTCAGGATAGTAAGTATTTGGGGTTTTAGGGGTTTTTTTTTTTTTAAAGTCTTTTGCAGGTCCGTGTATGCATTGTATGATAAACACGTGTCTCCTGAAAATGTCCACAACAAACATGGTAGACTCAGAGTATGAGTCCACCTAAAGAAATGTAAAGAAATAACATGAACTGTACTAACAAATGATATTAACAACAAAAGGGTTACAAGTGACAAAGACAATGATGTGTGTAACAAATGAATGTGGAAACGTTTTGGTCCCAAGTATGTGAGAAGTGAGTGAATGTGCGTACGTACATGTGTGTATGTATTGTTCATGCATTTTCCAAAAAGGGAATGCAATCTTCCACTAGAGATTTACATGTTGTCGTATAAGTGGAAAAGAAAAGGCTGTGAATAATTATCGTGGTGTATTTACAGTACTGGAAAATGTCCCCTAGGAGTAGTTTTGAAAATTAGAAAGAGTTGTTAGCCTGACACTTTGTATTATCGCATGAAACAATAAAACCTTGTTTGCAAGAATTTTTCATTTGTTTTAAGCTTTGATAACATAGCAACATATACGTGGAATTAGCTGGTAAGACTACTATATATATATTTTTTATTTTTAGGGGTTATTTGTGTGTCCCAACAATGACATGGTCCTAATGTGTCTGATTAAAGAGGTTGGACTGTAATGAACAAACCTAATCTGTATATATATTTTTTATTTACAATTTAATTATTTTTATATAATTTTACATTTCTTTTTTATTATTAAATTATAAACTTTAAATTTAATAAAAACAAAATGTAAAATTATGATAAAAATAATTAAAGGGGTAAATAAAGTGTTTTATAGCTTCTATGCAAGAAATGTTACTTTCGCTGAAAATAAATGCTCTGTAAAAATTAATGTTTCTGTTGCATGAAATCGCGACGTTTATGTTCTTGTAAAATCAGCAGTTGCTCTCTCTCTAGAGAGAGAGAAATACTGTCTCTCTCTCTCTCGAGAGAGAGCATTTCTCTAGAGTTATCTTTGTTTCATGCCTCTGTCCTCTTCTCTACACGTTCTCTTTCATATCCGATTTTTTTCTTTACACTGCGTATCAAAATATATGTTGCCTTTTCCATTTCATAGTTTTAACTTCTTTTTGGTTTTTCGTTTCTCATCTTTTATATATCTTTTTTTCTTTTCTTTTTGTAACAGATTGATTTTTCTCCCTACCAATCTTCATCGGAATTTACAACCACGCATTCTTTTGTTAGCTTTTGAAATGATCGTACTAAAAAGAAATAAAAAAAATGAGAGACTAAAAAATTAAAATAATAATAATTAATAAATAAACCTTCTTTCTTTTGCTTGTTTTTTCTTCATTCTTTCCTTCATTTTTTTTTTCTTTCTTCTTGGTCCCAATTAATTGTTTTCTCATTTTCCTTCTTTAACTCTTTCTTTCGCTTTTTCTTCAAACAATGGCTGACAGCTTGATATCGTCAAGTCAGACGATCTATTCATGTTGATATTAAAATTGACACCAGTCATACAAGTCAGTGGAGAATTTGTATTTGAAACAAATTCAAAATAATAATAAGTTTTCGCAACTTGAAAATAATCTTTAAAAAAAATAGTTCTTACGAATAACAAAAGATGATTATTTTAACACTCCTATGTCCATTTTGTT